GCATTTCTCTAGGTTTCCAAAACCACCTTATTCAACCTTCCCCATCTGTCACCATCTGCTTCTTTTTAGCATGTACTTTTTGTGTGATCACATAAGCATGTGAAAAATAACTAACATTCAGATGATTATCTGCTGGTACATTTGAGGACTGGGCATAATAAAAGTGAACTGCCAAAACGTACTTAACACTTTTAATTTTGTTGGGTCTTGCATGTAAGCTACATTTGATTTTCAAACTGTTTTACAGTTGGAAAATTGATCAGGTACTGCTAACTCAAGACCAAAGCTGAGACTCTAAATAATTAGCACCGCATAAAACAGTGTAGATTCAACGAGAGCCATACCAAATAGTAAAATTTAACAGCAAGAGTTTACATGTTATTTCTACTTTATTCCATAACTTTTTGGGTGAGAAAATACAATATTCACTGCAAAAATATATTTGTGGGGTCAATTTTATTTCAGGTCAAGTTTAATCCTTATAAATATGAGAAATTCTAACACAATAGCTTTTCCAAATTCTACCACAAATGCATTTGAAAATTTTAGCACATGAAGTATAATATTTATATATATGCCAAGGCTGTCTTTACAATCCCTTAAAAACATAATTTTGAAACAAAAGGTCAACTTTCCAAACTGAAGAGAGCCTGGCCGCCATCAATTAATGTTATCCAAGCAAAACAGGATACAGTGGTATTCTAACACTTTAGTTTTAATGAATACAAACTAATTATGTTCATCTTTGTACCCAGCTGCAATTACTTTCAAATGTAAGTGCAATTTAATGCAAAGAATCTAAGTAAAAACTAAATTATTCTTCTAAAGATTCTTTTTCAATTGAATCTAACTAAACATTCTTGGGTATGTGAAATTTGAACCACATATTTCACCTTAAAGACAAAATAAACACAAAGGTTTTGAATGATCTTGTCTATCCATTAGTTATTTTGCATTTTCAGCATTTGACTATGCCATAACAATGTCAAGGTATCATTCAGGTAATTAAGAGACATCTGTAAGAAGTAGCTTGCAACAAGAAGAGCTTGCAATACTTAAGGTAAAATACATTCTTCCTCAACATCTCAACCACAAGGGAAACAATCTTCATGAAATGCTGTGAATAAAAATCATCACTGGACACATACTTGTTGCCTCAGCAGCATGGAAGGACTTCTGAAAGCTAGTACGCTGCACACATAACCTTCCAGAACCCAGGGCAACCACTATCATATTAGAAAGTGTCAAAGTAGCACTTTAGTCATTATCATTGTCCATATTAAAATTTTATGAAAAGTTAGTTATTTCAAGAGTCAGCAGCTTCAAACAGGAGCCAAAGTAATGGTGTTCATTCATCACTTTCCTCTAAAGATAATCCATCAACACTATATGTCATACATCCTGATTTCTAATCCTTGAGGAGGTGATCTCATTTTAATAATATCAATTCTGTAAAATGATTTTACAAAGTATATAAGTATTTAAAAACAAGAAACAAAATGGTCTTAATAAAAGAGCAATTCAAAATTCATTTTGAACAGAAAGCCCATTTTAAAACAATTAGAGTCAATTCTTAACTTGTATTCTTGGTTTTTGTTCTTGGGTATATTTGCATAGAAAATAATATCTTGGTTTCTTAGGAGATCATCTGTTTCTGAAATGAGATTAATTATCTCCTTTAGAAATATTTTCCCCTAATTATGACATACTAATTCTGTTATGCTAAATATGGCAAATGTATAGCACAGACAAACGAATTCTGGAGAAACAAATAACTTATTTTTCTCTTACATTTCCTAAAACAACAGCATTCTAAAAAACATGATATTGTATCTGATTTAACATGGAATAGTGTTCTCTGAATTTTTAGCTGATATATCAACTGAAATTGAAATTCTAATTCTAGTGTATTTCATATTTCAGGGAGGAATATTTACAATGTCTCCACAAATGATGTTATTGGAAATTAAACATATTCAAAATATTAGTACTTGATTTTAGGAAACTCAAAATTTTCTCAATGCAAATTGTACCTTTAATTAATTAGAATATTCCAGTGGAAATATAATAATGAATGCTAATGATACTAATAATTCATACCAATTTTGTAACACAGTTGCTTCCCAATATTTAACAATTACCATTTTCTTTAGCCATTAGAAAACATTTATAGACAAAACATATGATTTCTTGACCTCTAAATTATAGCTTTTTTTTGCTGAACTGTGGTATACTATAAACCAGCACCTCTGTTTCCTCAAGATAGTCCAATGGTATTCTTATTACTATGTAGATTTTAATCTTAATTTTATTTTTTGAGATTGGGTTTCTTTATCTTTGTCCAACCCCATGCTAATCATCACGGAAGGTTTGATCTACTTTGTTTCTGACTAGGGTTGGGAGGAGGGGGGAATAGGCATTTATTTAGCACCTAATTGTGCTGGGTAGGAGGCAGGTAGGTGGTTCAGTGGACACAACACTGGGCCTCAAATTAGGAAGAAATGAGCTCAAAACTGGCTCCAGACACTTACTAGCTGTGTAACCCTAGACAAGTCACTTAACCTCTGTTTGCCTTAATCCACTGAAGAAGGAAATGGCAAACCACCCCAGTATCTTTGACGAGAAAAGGCCATGGATGATATGGTTTAACAGGGTCGTGAAGATTAGGCACAACTGAATAAAAACAATGTGACAAGCATTGTGCTAAGCACTTTGACAAATAATATCTCATTTGGTCCAGTATGCTCTTTTTTAGGCAGCCTGATCCCTTAACCTCCCTCCTGAAGGCTTGTCATATTGGTGCCAGACTCAGTGGGGACACCCAATTGTCCTAGTCTACAGCAGCTTAGAACTCCTAAACTCAAGGAATTCACCACCCTCAAGCCTCAAGGCAACAGAGGTTATTATAGTCATAACCACCACACTCTGCTCTATGTAGATGTTTAAATAGTTAGGTATTCCTTTAACATCAAACAAGATGATACAGATAGTGTCAAATGTATTCCATTTATCTTCCTACCTTTTCTGACCTTTTCTCTTATTCTGAATATTTCATTTGATCTGGGTCTCAACATAGGTACACCCTCTGATACAAATAGAAATTTATCCATGTTCTCTTATTCCGTAAGGATACTGTCTATATGCTCCCATAAATCTTCAAAGGGGAATTTATACCTACCATGCTTGGATTGGTACTACCTTGATTTAGAAAAAAAAAGCTGCCCCATTCTTAGTTGCATTTAGTTGCACAACAAACATGAACAAAATGAGTGGTGGTGATCAGTCTCTTCCTACCTTTGAATTTTTTATCTCAAAAAAAGTGTCATGCTTTTCAGCATGCAAGTAAAGCAATGCATATACATATATATGTCCTTGGATTGCTTTTAACTCAACAGCCCACCAAAGATGTATGCTCACAGGAGCTGGTTCTTAATTAGGATGAAGTAGGACTGTCTCTAGTACCCCAAGCTGACATGACAGTCATTCTTTTGGGATATAATTGCCCGTCAATTTAAGGGGGCAGTATCTGGTTCTTCTAACACTACATGGATTCCATTGGAGCATATGAGCTGTTCATAGATTATTCTTTGCCACATAACCAGTTCATCTTTTATTCTCAGTCATTTATATTAAGACATCCTTTACATTGCTTCCCTCGCACTATTCTTCATTGGCAATGTGTTGCAGCTTATTAACCTTCACAAAATGCCTCTCCATTTCCCTTAGGATAACCTTCAACAATGTTTTCAATAAATGTGTAATTCCATGGATCTTAGTCATGCAGCATCACAAGAAGAATACTTTTATATTTTCTAAACAAGCCTTTGTTTCAAGAAGAAACTTGAAGTCATTAAACATACCACATAATTTTCAAAAGCGATAATCCAGCCTGCTCTCCTCCTTCTGTTCAATTCTGGGCCCAACTCATTGTCTATGTGCAATGTCTGTCCAAAATATATGTACTGATGGGACCAACTCCATCCAACTGCATATTTTAGTCTAAATAGGCATTCCTCATCTACTTATTTTTTTTTCCAGTGTAGAGAAACCTAACTCTTTTTGGCTGCTTATGGATTTCACTTAAATGGCTCTTTGTGTTCTAAGGCTTGATGTAATCAGCATTATACCACCAGGAGACAACAGCATCTGGAGGACCTTAACATCTTTAGAACACTCCTTCTCCACTTGAATTCTGAATAGGATCTTCTCCATGACAATGAATATCTTTGACCACATACCTCTCCCTATTTTATGTCTTGATTAATATTAATAATTAGAGGATAAATGAATAAAAAGTTATTATTACATCTTTTAAGGAATCTTATATGATTTGATATATGCAAAGGAGATACCTTTTTGACAAAAACTGCTGTTAACAAATACTATTATAGCACCTACATTGTAGAGTCACTTACGATTATTTCTTTGTTTCCAAGTATAGTTCATCATAAGGTTTATGAAACCACAAACAACAGTCTTAATGAAGAAGTCATATAGTTTGATATGATCAAAATTTGTCAGGCATAAATATGATATATTTGAGTAACAATTCAAAATATGATAGAAAGATCCAAGATATAAATCATATGAAAAGAAAAACCTTTATTCTCAGGGGCAGCTAGGTGGCGCAGTAGATAGAGCACCGGCCCTGAAGTCAGGAAGACCTGAGTTCAAATCCGGCCTCAGACCAAACACTTGACACGTACTAGCTGTGTGACCTTGGGCAAGTCACTTTACCCCAATTGCCTCACAAAAACAACAACAACAACAAAAAAAACCAAAAACCTTTATTCTCATTATGGAATTGTTAGTGTACTTGCCTACTATCAGTTTCTTGCTGCTAAAATTTATATATTAATATTTAAGAATTGCTCAAGCCATAATATTTTGTTTTAATTCCTGCCAAAATATGTAGCACCATTTTAAAAAAAGCTTAAATATTTCTTATTATAAAATAATTATGATAACATGAATTTTCCCTTTAAGTTCCTACAACCTACCTCAGGTGCAAGGTACTCAGGTGTACCACAAAATGTCTTCATTGTAGCTGCATCTGTAATCCCTTCTTTGCAAAGTCCAAAATCTGTAATTTTTATGTGGCCATCTTTATCCAACATCAAATTTTCCAACTGTGTATTAGGAAAGAAAGAAAGTTTAAAATTGTCCTCTGACTTTCAATAATATATATTTCTAGGAGGGGAAAACATATCCAAAGTTCACTAAAGTATTCAATACTTTACAAATTAAGGATGAAATTACAGCTCCTATAAAGTTCCTACTTTTGTATAGAGTAAAAAAGTACATTACACTAAATATTCAGGAATTGTGATCATAGAGCTTTAAAATAAACTAGGACTCTATAGCTTTAAAATTCATTTTTATTTAAGTTGTGAAAACTCAAGACTGTGAAACTTGGAAAAGCTAAGTTTCCTCCACCAAGCCCCACTTTTAAGAGAGGCATAATAGAAGAATATCATCTAATAAGCCTTCCTATTTAGTACTTAACAACGTTCTCTAAATCATTTCAAGATGAGCATCTTTTAAAAAAAGTCCACAAGAAACAGGAATCCACTATTATTTTTCAAAACCCTTGCAGATTTTTCTTTAAATTCAACCTAAATATAATGCTACAAGGAAAGTAGAATTCTGATGAATTTCTTTACTATTAAATATAAAAATGGAGAGATAATACACACAGAAGAAGAGCTCTGGCTTGATTTTTATTACAAACACATATACAGATCACATTTATTTTACGTACATGTATACACACATACAGAGCCAAATCTACAATATTAAGTGAAAATCAGTTTGATCCTGTTAGTAAAAATATATCGAGGGACAGAGTTCACAGATTTAACTACTATAAGGCATGCAATTGTCAGTCAATTCAAGTCATAAGACTATCTGCTCACAAAACCTGATATTCTGAACCTATGATTTTTGCTATTGTTGTTGAGCTGTTTTTCAGTCGTGTCCAACTCTTCATGACCACATTTGAGGGCAAAGATACTACGGTGGTTTGCCATTTCCTTCTCCCGCTCATTTTACAGATAAGGAAACTGAGGCAAACAGGATTAAATGACTTGCCCGGGGTCACCTAGGTATTATATGTCTCAGGCTGGATTTGAACTCATGAAGAGGAGTCTTCCTGACTCCAGGGCCAGTGCTCTATCCCCTGAGCCATCTACTTGCCCTATAATTTAGTTGTACAATCAACGTGTCAGTCAATAAACATTTATTAAGCACCAACAATGTGTCACACATAGTGCTAAGCTAAGAGTGTGGAGAGCTGACATGGTGAGATCTAAATTTAAGGAAGGTCACTTTGATGGCTGAGTGGACAATGAACTGAAGTGATGAGAAACTTGTAGCAGGAAAACTAACCAGCAGGCTACTGCAGTAGTCCAATGAGATAAAATCCTGAACTAAGTTGACAGCAGTGTTGGAGGAGAGAACAGAATATAATCTAAAAATGTTACAAGGGTAAAAACGAGAAGCCTTGGCAACAGATTGGATATAGGAAGTGAATGCAAGGCACTGAGGATGACACCTAGTCCTGCCTGTACCTGGATGGAAATATCCTCTACAATATCCTAAATTACATACTCAATGATAGAGAACACACTGAATCTTGATTCAGCTCATTCTACTTTTTGACAGGTCTAATTGCTAGGGAATTTGTCCCTTATACTGATCCAAATTTGCCTTTCTCTAACTCTCATCCATTATTCCTACTTCTAGAGACAATTAGTATAATCTGAATTCCTCTAAAATATTATAGTCTTTCAAATACTTGAAGATATCTATGATAACCCCTAAGTTTTCTCTTCTCCAGGCTAAATGTCCCCAGTTCATTCAACCAACGTGATGGTGTTTTCTGTAACAATCCTGGTCATATACCACTTTGGACCTATGTCAGTTGATCAATGTCCTTCCTAAAATGTGGTGTTTGATAATGAAGACAGAGTCTAACCAGATGGGACAGAGTACAGGGAGGCTATACATGCTTCATGTGGAACATTATTGCCTTTTATGAGATCTAAGATTGCTTAAACTCTTGTTGAATTTGTAGTCTACAAAAACCCCCAAAGTCTTCACAGGAACTGTTATTTAGTCCTATCTCCCCATCCTACACTTAGGTAGTCGATCTTTGAAGCTTAAGTCTAGGACTCTGCTTTTTTCCCTATTTTCTTAGCTTAAGATCATTATTCTAGTCTTTTAAGACCAAGCTGGTTTTTTTTTTTTAAATGAAGCATCTTCTTAAATACACTTGAGTAAATTTATCAGAAAGCACACACAATAAGTACATGAACAAATGAATAGATGAATAAAATTTATGTGACACTTAATATGTGTAAGGCACTGTTAAATGCCTTATAATTATTATCTCACTTGATTTTCACAATCCTGATGCTGTTATTGTCCCCATTTTATAGATGAGGAAACTGAGGCAAAGAGAAGTTAAGTGACTTGCCCAGTTAGTAAGCAGGAGGGTAATTTGAACCTCAGTCTTCCCGATTCCAGGCCCTGCACTCTATCCACTGTGCCACCCTGCTGCCTCAACTAACTTCTTTTGTGTTATGCTTAGTCCATAACTGGATACAACTATTATGTAAAAGTGAGATAAAGTTTTTTTAAGATTAATTTGAATATCTGTTACCAATTTTATCACTTTGTGTGTAACTCACTATCTCCCTTAGGTGAATCTGCAATTGTGATCTATCTTAAAAGAAGGGGCTATAGCTTTTATGCTTATTTTAACTGTCTATATCATTAGAGTCAGACTCATGATTGGAAGACGTAAAATTTTATGTTACAAATAAGGACTATATTTAACTACCTGAATTATTTAGGGGTTTATTATTTATTATTTATGTTTTCTTTAAGGGGGTATGGGTAAGGAATCTTTGTCTTTTAAGGCTTTTACAAGCAATAATAATGGATGTTATCAGTTGGGGTAGGGTACTGTTGGATTTTATGACTCAGTTTAAATACAAAGTCATGAGATTATTATTCTTAAATATTCTTTTGCCTGCTCCTCTCCCCTTCATTGTCTTTGTTTGTTTTGTTATTTGATTTTTGCTAGAAAATGGGGTTAAGTGATTTGCCCAGGGTCATACAGCTATCGAGGGTCAAGTGCCTGAGGCCAGATTTAAACTCAGGTCCTCCTGACTCCAGGGCCAGTGCTCTATCCATTGGGCCACCTAGCTACCACCCTCTTCCTTCTTTTTGGTGACTGTCATTTCAGGTTGGGAAAAAGAGGCTATTTATTTGTACCTTTGTGCTTTGGCTGTTACCTGAGTCAAATGAGATTGAAAATAAAATAGAAAAATTCTGTCACTCATATATGGGAGCACCCTATTACGGAGTTAATTGGTACATTTTACCCATAGGATATGTAAGCATAATCCTACTATATTCAAAAAAATTATTGATGTCTGTTGAAATTCTGATTAATTATTCAACTGCTATCACTTGCGGCTAAGAGCTATACAGTTTGGGAAGAACATTATTAAAGCAACATCAATAAATGGTTTCCCTCATTCAGCCCTCTCTTCTTTTTAGTAACAAAATATCGAGTAATAACGTGGAAATTTATGAAAGTAAACACAAGGCAAAGAATTGTAGTGTCTGAATTCTTAGCCACTAATAATGCAAATTCCATCAGAGAAGATAAAAGTCCCAGGACTGCTATAATTAGGAAGAAAGGGTCATAGAGGAAACCTGAGCCTCAGCTTTGGGGACCCAGACATCCCTACTTATATTCCTAGGGCTTGAAAATCCTTTCTACAATTAACTAAGGTCCAACTTACAGGTGTTAGCTCTAACCATGAATGCCATATAGTCAAGTAACGTTAGAGCTAGAAAGGAACTTAAAATTACCTTTGTACAATCAATGAGCCATGGTCCTTAAGATTAGAAAATCAATACAAACATAAATTTCAGTGATGTTTTAGATCAAAGTTACTTTTTATAACTTATAAAAATAAATCCTATGATTTTTCTGATGAGCTGATTTATGAAAGTGCTATTGTTAATATTTTCTTTTCTTCTATAGGTTATTCACAGTTATTCATAGTGGAATCAATACTTGTGGATAGAATAAAGTTTAAGCAAATACTTAGGCTCTTTATTAACTTTTAAAAATGATTTATTATAAACAATACTGAACAAGAATGAAATGAATTAAACTTGCTTTGTAACTACTTACATATAAATGATTTCAATGAATAAATTGGCATGATAATTTTTTTAACCACTGTATACTGAAGTCTGTATCAGGATTCTTTATCCATTTTCATTCATTTCCCTTTTATATCATTATAGTTGGTATGGATTCCTTTTTGCTGATTCTGCTTTTTTTATTTAGAATTATTTCAAAAACGTGTTTCCAGATTTCTATACACTTCTCAAACTTTTAGTATTAACCACATTATTGTATTTGGTTGCATTAATGCACCACAATGTATTTAATCATTTCTTTATTGTTGAACATTTAGGTTGCTTCAAGATACTTCTTTTTCGGCAACTACAAATTATGCCACTATGATACTTTCAAAATATACATTTACTACATGGAATAATTGGATCAAAGTGTATGATTATTTGTTGGTTGCTACCAATTGCCAGACTGCTCTCCAGAATGATTCTATCAGTTCACAATTTTATAAGAAAGTGAATGAGCACACCTGTTTGCCCAAACGTTGCTGACATTTAGTTTCACTGATTTTAATTACTTTTTTTTGACAATTTGAAGGCTATGAGGTTGTATCTCAAAGGCTTATATCTCTTTAGTTATTAATCAGGTTGAACATCTTTTCAAATGATTATTAACCATTTGTGGTTTTTCCTTTGAAAAAGTCCTCTTCACATTCCTTCTGTGTCATCTCACGTCCATAATTATTCCATTCTTACATCCTTTTAAAGTACTTAAAAGTCTATCATCTGGCTGGAATTCAGTAAGGTATATGGTTTAAACTGTAGGTCTAAATCCATTTCCTTCCAAATTGCTAACCAATTTTCCCAAGTGCGTTTATGAAATACTGAATTATTTCCTCCATTTTTATTTTGTTTTTCAAACACTGATATTTTATATACATTTGGTTGTATATTTTGTGAATTTTCATATAAATTTTCACATATTATTTAATATGTTTTTGTGTGGTGAGCCACATATTTGTTATTTCATTTTACTGTGGGAAAATTAAAGTGTAGAAACACTGTCCATTGATGCAGATGGATAACCCTCTCCATGCTCATTGAAACGTTAAGTGACTTCCTTACTTAACTAATGGAACAGAGCTGCCATGTGTCAGAGGCAAGACTTGAACCTAGATCTTTCTAATTCTAAGGCTGGGCCTCTCACCAGGCTCATTTAAGATGATGTGACACTAATGTATTATGCCGAGATAGTTACATCTATTTTCCCTTAAGAACTTGGGGTCTATTGTATAACAATTTTTTACTATTTAGTCATCTGTGTGCAAATCATTCCTATTTGCCACTGTAAATCAACAAGATTTCAGTGAATTCTCTGTGTTGGTGAACCCTTAGTGACCAAAAAATGTGAACTATGGGTTCCACTGTGTTTTAGAAAATTCAGAACTTCATTTAGTTCTATATGTTCAGCGGTAAATGGAGAGCATCATCCAGTGATAAGTGATGGATTTCAAATCACAGTATTTGTTGTTCAGTTGTGTCTGACACTTCATGACCCCATTTGGGGTTTTCTTGGCAAGATAATAGAGTGGTTTGTCATTTCCTTCTCTAGATCATTTTACAGATGAGGAAAATGAGGTAAACAAGGTTAAATGACATGCCTGGAGTCACAGAGCTAATAAGAGTCTGAGGGTGGATTTAAACTTAGGTCTTCCTGACTCCAGGCCCCAGCACTCTATCCTCTATACTTAAACTACACCAGGTTTTGAATTCTGATCCCACCACTAGGAAGGTCACAAGCTCTCTGGGTCACAGTTTCCTTAGCTACAAAAAGAAGTTGTACTAGATGACCGCTGAATCCCTTTTAACCTAAATCTATGATCCCACGTAATTATTTTGAAGCATGTGTGTACGTATATGTATGTGGGACATGTATGTGTTTGCATACATACCATATATACACACATACTCACATATATGTACATATGTGTGTGTGTATACACACGCACACATATTATGTCTCTTAAGTGGATTTGCATACAGAACTAAAGAAAGACTAAAACAATATAATCAAAAGAACGTGGACACAAGTTAAGTGTCCCCAAAGGCCTTATTTCTTTATGTTACTTGGTGATCTCATGGGTTTAATGATCATCTCTATGTAGATGATTCCTAAGCCAATACATCACAGAAACATAGAATTTGAGAGAAGAGAATGCAGTGGCTATCTCTAGTCTCTATACAATATCTATCTAGTCTATACACAATAAGTAGAAATCACATCTCTTCCTAGAAAATCCCCCTTCGAGGGGGAATCCACCATTTCTAAAGATAGCTCATTCCATTTTTAGACAGCTCTAATTATTAAGAAATTTTCCCTGACACTGAAGCCTAAATCTGCCATTATTCGTTTCTGACATCCAATGCCAAAAAGAACAAATCTAAACCCTATTCTATATGACAACCTTTCAAATACTTGGACAGCGCTACTACATCTCCCTAACTTCTCTTCTTCAGGCTAAAGATCACTAGTTCCTTCAACCAATTATCATATGACATAAACTTAAGCTTGCTAAGTGATATGGTGGATAATACACAGTATGCACTTTAAAAAAAGGTTTTCTCTCTTTCTCTTTCTTTCTTCTCTCTCTTCCTCCCTCCCTCCCACAATTTTTGCTCCCTTCCACTGGATGTTAACATCTTTTTAAACTGTGATGCACAAAACTAAAGACAATACGCAAGTAAGGTCTTATCAGAACAAAGTACAGAGGGAATGTCTCCTTCCTTATTACTGAAAGATATATCTCTCTTAATGCATCTCAAGACTGCATTAGCTTTTTTAGTTGCCACAAAACACTGCTTTCTCATATTGAGCTTGCAGTTCACTGAAATCCTCAGATCTTTTAAAATTGTTACCTAGCCATATCTCCCTATCTTTTACTTCCAAAGTTTATTTTTTGTACCGAAGGATAAGAATTTACATTTATTTCTACTGAATTTCATCTTACAGATTTGTTCCAATGATATAGCTTTTCACATCTTGATTCTGTCATCCAATGTGTTAGTTACTTCTCTTAGATTAGTGTTACATACAAATTTGACCATTATACTGTCTCAGTTTTTGTCCAAGTCATAATAAAAATTTTGAACATCACAGTGTCAAGCAAAGATATTCTACTGCAGACTTCCTATCACATTGGCTTTAAACCATTAATGATACACCATAAATCTGGTCATTTGACCAATGCTGAATCCAACTTACTGTACTACTGTCTGTCTACACCTCTCTCCATTTTCTCACTAAGAACACCATGAGATACTTTATCAAAAGCTTTGACAAAATCAAGTAAGCTATATTATACAGTTCTACATTAACTCTTTCACCATCTTCAACAGTGCTCTGATGCAGCTAGTCATTTTTTAATCAGGAGGAATATAGTTCTTTACTAAAAATAATATTCTATAGTTATCGCTTTGCAACATCATTGTGTATGCTTCTATTTGCTTTTGCAGCTAACTACACTTGTCTGTACTACACACCTACCCTTATACTTGTTAGTTGTCTCCCCCAAGTGTTGTCATCCATAAATTAAAGATGTATGATAGGAATACAACCAAAAAAACCCCAAAATGCTAAGAGAGTCAGATTAGTTGAGAAATATTGGCACTGGATAAAGAATGAAATGATGGGAGCCTTTTACATGCAGCTATGTAGGCGTATTAGATTACACAACACAAGAGTTCCTGAAAAGTTATTTGTGACCAATACTTTGGTGAAGCAAATAAATCAGAATGTTTAACAAAAGTACTGGAATACTTTTTAATTTAAAGGAATTCTTTGGCATGTCATATTTAGCATAAATTATCACTAACTCATTTACCCATTTTATAGACCTTGATTTTCACATGCTGGTTTGATTACAGTATGGTACAATATATGCTTTTAAATCAGTAAGCCTAGTTCATAAGGGTGTTGGGAGAATAACGCAGTACTTTAATAAAGGTCCTCAAATGCTTATGAAGAAACAAATCAATAGCAACATACTATACAATATTATTAGTAACCATATGTTTTTCAAATGTTAAAACTTTTTAAAAAATCAAATATTCAAATCGTTAAAGGTCTTAGACCATCAAGAACTATAAATTGAAACTAAAACTAAGATTGTATCCCAGTTAAACATCTTGATTTACTATAAAGGTTTTTTTATAAGGATAGGATGTCATATAAAATCCTAAAATAGAATTAAATACCTTAAGGGTTTTACCTACCTATGAATTCACTTAATTTTTAGGCCAATGCCTAATGTTATTCTTAATTATAAGCATTTAGAGAAAAAACTAAACTCTTTCTAGAGATCATATAGTTAAGAAACATTTATTTGCACATCAAATACTCAGAAATACAGAAGGTGCCTTCAGACTAGTGAATAAAACAGTATGCTCTATGCTGCGAAGCACATTCTACAAGGCACAGTTTTTTCTCAAAACCAAATCTATTTTTTTCAAAACTGTGTAACTTTGTAATTACTTTGTGTTTGTCCCCATAGTCTCTGAAAAAACAAAATTTGATTACTTTTTTTTTTTTACCTTGAGATCACGGTACACAATCTTTCCAGAATGTAGATAGTCCAAAGCTGAGACAATTTCTGCACCATAGAAGCGTGTGCGGTCCTCAGAGAACACCCGCTCTCTCGACAAATGGAAAAACAGCTGCAGGGTAAACAGCAGGGACAGGATTGTAATAATTACTGATTTAGTGGGGGAAATTAACACAAACATAAAACACCTCTCATCACCATATTGTGATGATAGATAGTGTACTCTCAGTGGACACTCAGCACTCTTAGACAGCAGCTGGCTTATCTTTTCCAGGTTTCCAAGGGGAGACTGTGAGCTGTTAAATCAGCGTTTTAATCAATATACCAATCTTGTTTAAGGCATTCTGTTTGCTACCCATTTAACCTTCAGTTACCATAGGAAAAAAGTGTCTATCATCATCCTGTATTCCTTCTTATTCTGTCCCTCACCATTTCCTTTTTAGGATGAGGTACTGAGTGATATTATTAAAATAACAACATGGGTATGGTTGCATGATTTTAAGTTAATTACTTAATTTACTTTTGTACTAAAGAGGAAAAAAAAGAATTGGTATTCATCTGGACACTGTTTAACAAATGAACTAGAACAATGAAAAAGTTGATAATGCTGTCAGTAAATAGCCCCTCAATGACCTGATCATTGTGTTATAGCTAGAGATGATAAACCTCTCAGAGTTGTGACTTCCTAACTTCATTTTAGTGATCTACAAAATAGCTAAGCAGAACAAATTCTTTGGTATTCCTGATGGAATTCAATATTTGTTCTCCCCATTCTGAAACTGTACCACTTAACAAATCATCCATTCCTTAAAAACAAAAAAGTGGCTAATATTTTTAAAGTAATTATAAAGCAATATAAAAGTTAGCACTTTGAAATTACATCACTCCAAAAACATATTAACTAAAAACATTAAAGTTTTTTTAAAATCAAATATGATTTAAATTTTTTCTACATAATATCTGTGGCAGATTTTTGAATTGCTTGTTTTTTTACTGATAAGCAAGTTGTTCAATGATATGCATCAGAGTTCATTCATTTGCTTCTGTCTATATACATGACATTAAACAACTACACTAAAAATGAAAATTTCAGCTAATCATCCAGATGTTTTCAATTACTTGAAGACTTGATATCAGATAAAAATGTTATGATGATCTGATTCAATTTGATTTAATTCAATTAGGCAAGGATTTATTGATTGCTTATTGATGTCTGACGCATTGAAGGAAATACAAAGCCAAATAAGATACAGTCCTTGCCTTCAGAGAGCTTATAAACTTTTTAATTCTCTTTTCATTGGATCATTTGATTTTATATAGACACAAGAATAGGTAACATCTATTTCTACATTTTGTATTGGCAGGACTTCTCATAAGTAGTGATATAATTTTAGGGGATACCAGGCTAGCATCAGTTACTCAAAAAAAAGCTGCCTGATTCATTGTAAGAGATTCATTTTTATGTTTTGAAATATTTGGCAGGGAGAGGGTCTTCAAGAATTCTGTACAGTGATGGGAGGAAATGACTACAAGGAAATGATTATAGTAAAATGACTTCAACCTGTTTTGAAACCTCATTCAAATTGCTTACCTTTGTATTTATGGCCCTAAATATTCTGTCCTGAATCTGCCTTTCATTCAACAACCATCTATAAATTGCCTACAGTGTACAAAGTGATATGACAGGAGTTGCGAACAAAGAAATGACCCCTGTCCCCTTTCCACCTTCATTTCTCTTCTCTTCTCTATACAAACTTCCAATTCCAATTGGACTGGTCTACTTACTATCCATAGAACTTGTCTTGTATATCCCTTCTCCCTGATGTTATTCTTTTTAATTCCACATCAAATGTCCATCCACCCTCCTCTCTGTCCACTGAACCCTTCTATTCTCAGTTCAAGTACCACCTCCTTTCACAAAGCCTCCACTAACACCCTTGCTCACTGAATTCTCTTCCCCTGAATATATATACCAGGAGGAAACCTGTGGCCTTGAGGTGAGTATATACCCACTCCTGGTATATACTTTGCCTACACTACTCATTCGACATTTACTATTTACTACTTGGGTTAGCTGGAGTTTTGTTTGCTTAGGTCTTTTTATCCATAATTTTATCCATAAGTTCTCTGAAGGGAGAAAATCACTTCTTGTACTTTTAATAAATCCCACAGGAAATACATAAGACAAGGGTGTTAAAATGGAAAGCATGCTGGGCCTGTCATCAGAAGACCTAGGCTTGAACATAACTACTCAAATATACTCTCTCTGTCTCTGGCTGTCTGATGTTTTATTTAGCATAAACAAAAATGTGTAAAGCTTTTTACTCATTTTCATTCCTTGGTCAACCATGTGAATTGGTGGTCATGACGGCTAGCTGAGTTAAGCTTATCTCTCATCAACAACTTAGGATTCTTAAAAGAAACACCGTGAGCAATCTCAGCACAGTAAGATTTGTTGCATATTAAGAGCACTTCTAGCTCTCTGACACTGTGCACCAAACTTCTTGAATCCATTACGTAATATGTTTTGTCTTCTTATTGCTTCTATAACCAACACTGGACATTAAAATCTGACCCTTGAAATCATCTTCTCACCCATTGGTCAATGCCTCTTGGTACACACCAGTTTACTTGACCTCAACATTTCAGTCTGATTGGAGTCAGATGACTTTTTGGTTCTCTTCTTAACTAATTTAAGCTTCATGTTAGCAGCAAAAAGATAGCCACTGCCTCAGTGGGCAGTGCCAAGGAAAAATGAGAGAAGGAAAGACTTCCATTTACTCTTACTGTCCTTATGAGGGTCACTTCATCGCTACAGATATCCTCACCTATAAAATGGGGATGATAATATCTGCCTTAAGTTGCTCAGTGTTGTTGGGATTAATTCAACAAATATTCTATAATCAACTACAACATACAAGACACTGCATGGAGCTGGGATCAAGTAAGATAATGGATGTAAACTTCCATATACAATGTCATCTATTACCATTAAGCAGTATTTAATAAATATTTCCAGGATGAGCGCTATGTAAATGCATTACAGAAAAATTGTGTTACAGTTGGTATGAATTTGTATCCAGAAAAGGGAAATGGTCCCTTTTGAAGAGGAGATATGCCTGATCCTGTGTATAATATTTACTACAGAAGTAATTAAAAGTAACTTTACAAGGCAATCAGGAAAGATGGGAAGTTTAAAGCAATTTCCCTGAAAAAAAGAACAAAAGGAATAAAGCAGTATTCCTGTGGAGAAAAACCTTCTGATTAAAGAAAAGACCATACTCTGAGTGTTCTTTTTGTTGCTTGTACCTGTGGAAAGTAGGAAAGGGCTAAATAAAGAACTTGAATGAGTCATGCCCTTCCTTTAAATAATCTCACAAGACAGGAAGGGTGAGGAAGGAAGCCAGTGACCAAGAGGAAAAGTCACCTGCAAGGACTTTTGATGCTGAACTACTGAAGAACACTGAAACTCTTGCTAAACCCCATGACAGTTTTTACTCACAATTAAGAGTTTTAGTATAAACTGAAAAAAAGCATTCTGTTAAGGCCAGGGAGAAAACATTGGGCATTTATGATTGGTGAGAAAGTCAACTTTTTGTAAAAAGATAACTGTATTTGTTGAAAGCTTTCTTTATTTGGGCATCCTATTCAAAGGTCTGAGCTGAAACTGGTTAATTTTTGTGTTGAATTATTTTAATAGTCATATTCTTTTTTTTTTAAAGCCTAACGACACTAAGTTAAAGTTAATTTTGAAAGTAAGCTGAAATAGGGCACAGGATAAGCCACTGGGACAGAGGGGACCATTACTTTACAGATGAGAAAACTCAGATATGGTGAGGTCAAATGACCTTTGGGGGGGGGAATGGGGACATATAAGTGTAAAAATTGAGTCTCCCTTTTTCACTCAGGCTGGAAGGCCAAGCAGCCCCTCACAGGTTGGATCCCCATGACGACCTGTATTGAAGCTTTAATCTACTCTGTTTTTCTTACCTAGGCTGGTTCAGTCCCTGCCGAGACAGACTGATGACTCTCTAGTTTTAGAAGCTCACCACAATAGTGCCACAACTTAGTATGGATCAGTCCTATTGCAGCTAACATATCTCAAACTCAAGCAATCTACCAGCCTCAACCTCCCATAGTTATACGCTTTATAGGTATACTCCATCACATTTGGTTGACGTCAAATGACTTTGAGAAGTCCACGCAAATAGTGAATGAGAGAGACAGAGGTTCTTTTCCGTAGAATATGCTATCAAGGGGCAGCTAGGTGGCACAGTGGATAGAGCACCGGCCCTGAAGTCAGGAGTACCTGAGTTCAAATCCGGCCTTAGACCAAACACTTGACACTTACTAGCTGTGTGACCCTGGGCAAGTCACTTAACCCCAATTGCCTAAAAAAAAAAGAAAGAAAGAAAAAAAAAAAGAATATGCTATCAATATAAAAATAATGAATGCAACAAAATGTAACTAAAAACATGCAAAATAATTTGAAAAATCCACTTAAACTAGACAGTTTGAAAGTAATTAGGGAAGGTTGAAATTATATATTAAATATTGATTTAACATATACTATGTTAAGAAGCAATACTTAGCAATGGCTAGAAAGCTATAGCCCTGAACAATTAATTTAGTTTTAAATGTCCCAGGCAACTCTCAAAAATATACTTTACACAGAGTTGCTATGAAAATTACAATATACATTGATAGAGGGAGTTCCTATACAAGATGCTAACCATACCTATGAAATCAAAGTTCCAGACCAAATACACACACACACAGAGCAATATGAGTTCAAATACAAATGAACTATATATCCAAATACTATTTAAGCATAGACATAAACTAAATTCTATATAACACACATGTGTTACATGCTAAAAAGAATCCACAAATGTTTCTATATAATGAAAATTAGGGCAGAAGTTCTGATTTTAAAATATTTGTATTGGAATCATCACAGACCAGACACCCCAAAATATATTCAGTTCAAAAGAAAAAATGAGTTCACCTGGGACAGATGACCAGATTTTCTCTTCAGAGAGGACATGTTTACCTTAGTGTCTCCAGCTATAAAATGGGGGTAATAACAGCACCTACCTCACAGAATTGTTA